GTTGTGAAATGAAATATTTTTGTACTTAATACACTTCTTTTTGGTCCCAACTCGATGGCAGACTTCTATAAGTACTTTTCTGATTTTTACCTATTGAACATGGTTTGCAACAGCATATTTCATGGCAATTATTGTTCTTTTGATGTCTACTGCCATTCCTTCAAATCTGAAATTGCATCAACAGAACACTCAGCATGGAAATATAGGTACTTTTCTTTTAACAGGGTGCCAATCGCCATACGTGGTACCCTGTTTATACTTCATCATGACTATGTCTAACCCCCAATTTATGCAATTCTCAGACTCTTTTTTACTTCCTTGTACAAAATATAAAGGGAGTATTGTAATCGCGAAAAGTTTCAGGCATCATATTTCAACACAAATATCCATTTTCACCGCTATCGAATGCAATTTAACGATGTTTTCAAGTGACATCTGTATGCAAGGACAGGATAAAGGACTCTTTACCCCCAAAAAAATTTTAAAACTAATTTAAAATGAAATCTGAAGAGAATTTTTCGTGGCCTCTGTGCGTACGTACGTATCTTCCATAACTTAAAAACGAGTTCCCTCAGAACAATGAAATTTTGTATACAGTACAGATATAACATGTAGATGTGCACCTTGTATTTTGGTTGCAATCGGCTGCACCAAAAGTATATAAATATATGTATACATATATCCACTCTGTTACTCAGCTCAGTGATCTCAGTTTTATTCTTATGTTTTTAAATTGTGCATTTTTTGCTTTAAAAAATAATTGAATTATGTTGTTCTTATCTTCCAGTTCAGGTTTTTATGCCTTTAGTAAACCTGCATGCAATATTTTTAGAATTATCAACAATTTAAAAGTTGTTTAAGTGCCACCAAGCCTAATAATTTTTTCCCTGGCGGCCATTGCCTTCAAATAACTTTCTTTCAAATACATTTGAAACAGCAGAATAGTAGATTTGCCAAACTAGAGAAAGTAATTAAGACACAATAACACGCCGAATAAATACTAATTCAGAAGTCAAACAACAAAAATCAGCGTTATATTTACCAAATTTTCACAGGACTAGTTTCAATGGTTTTACCGAACCACCATCTTCAGCTGCAAAACCGCAAATGAACCAGATAGGAAATAATGATTAGATAAGATAAGAAAGCCTGAACAAGAATAAGCAAGTGGCGCCATCTGTTGGTAAAACCGAACTACTAAAACATAATTTCTTTCAAGGCCGAAGGCAAATTTGGATTGGAATTAGGATCGTTAACTAGAACAGAAAGATTTTTATGAATGTGAAATGCCTCTAGAAAATCCAGTTCTCCAATGGAAGATGTTTTTTGAATAATTTTGGCAGCAGAAAAACTGAAAGTGTGGTTTTCGGACCAACAATGTTGAGCAACAGAAGACTTCCATACTCAAGGACCCCATTCCGGTTATGAATTCCTGGGCTATTTATGGGATTCCTTGCCAGTGTGGTTTAACTTACATTGGCCAAACTAAGAGAGCCTTAAAATTTCACGTCAAGGAACATGAGGCATATGTTAGAAAAAAGGAAACACAGAAGTCTTCTGTTGCTCAACATTGTTGGTCCGAAAACCACACTTTCAGTTTTTCTGCTGCCAAAATTATTCAAAAAACATCTTCCATTGGAGAACTGGATTTTCTAGAGGCATTTCACATTCATAAAAATCTTTCTGTTCTAGTTAACGATCCTAATTCCAATCCAAATTTGCCTTCGGCCTTTAAAGAAATTATGTTTTAGTTCTGGTTTTACCAACAGATGGCGCCACTTGCTTATTCTTGTCCAGGCTTTCTTATCTTATCTAATCATTATTTCCTATCTGGTTCATTTGCGGTTTTGCAGCTGAAGATGGTGGTTCGGTAAAACCATCGAAACTAGTCCTGTGAAAATTTGGTAAATATAACGCTGATTTTTGTTGTTTGACTTCTGAATTAGAGAAAGTAAGCAATAACAAAGATAATGCCTTCTTTTATTATTGCGAATTAAATCATGGTTAATCCATTCTGGAATTTATTCGAGGAAATAAGTGTTAGATTTACTTCATAATTTTCAATGCCGACATCTTGAGTTTTAATGTATTTTTGCCTTGTCGCAAAGTGAGAACTGAATTAATTGAATGAGAAATACTGAATCGTCTGCGAAAAACTGTTTCTTTTTTTGCTGTTGTTCTTTGCTTAATTTCTTTTCTACATTGTTTTAGATTTATTATAGTATTTGAATAGAACATGTGGCAATGATTATATAATTCTTAAAAATGATATAAATTTTGTGCATTCTGAGTTAAAAAATGAACGAAATGTAACGCAGTTAAGTGAACCTAGGGCCAGAGTGTCGCTATGGTAAACAAATATAGTGAATTTTAAAAGTGCATTTATTCTATTGTGGTTTATGCGCTATCGACAAAGTATATTTATTTCAATCCAATAAGTTTAAATTAAATGCGAGAAAAAAATGGGTATAATTTAATATTCCGTACAAGGAAGTCCTGTGATGCACACATCAGATTTTTTTTTTTAAGAGAGAATAAATCACTGTGTACATAGGGAGAACAACAGTTCTCTTCGTGTACAGAAATGAAGTTAATTTTGAGCTATTTACAGCAGCTTTAGCTAAAAAGTAATTTGGAAATTTTGTTGTATTATATTTATTATCTTATTTAAATTTTAAGATCACCAAAGTGAAAGACAAGACATTCCTAAACATGACAGCTGAAAAATAAAAATGTTCCTCTTAACCTTTTTGGTACTTTCTGAAAATTCACACCACTGGTTTCAACTTCTACCAGAATTCCAGTGTTTTTGGCATATGTTTTAGTATACATTTTATAAAAGCCAACCCATAGAAGCATGTACCATACACATGGGTTTATAAGCTTTATATTTAAATGCCATTTTGCTGAAGAGCATCTAATAGCTGAAAAAATGTTAATATCAGCCACATAAACTTCCTTTCCCCCCCCCTCAGAAATTATTTTTATCTTTATTTATGGAAAGAACAAGACTTATAAAACATAAAAATAAACAGTTTTTATCAGTTCACAACATTGCCAATGACTTGGTGACTATATGGGTTCAGAAAATCAGAAATAAGCATTTAAATAACATTATAACATTCATTATGTTTTTTAAAAAATCATGGAATCTGAAGACGACTAAATTATAATTTCTGTGGATAAATTAATAATAAAATAAAAGGCTGATAAACCACTTGAGCAAAAGATACAAACTGGTATAACTTTTGGAATCTTCATGAAAAATTACAAAATTCACAAAAACTGAATTTCATGTATGTACTGTAAATAAATATACTGTAAAACTAAACTTAGAGTAAAATGAATGATAATGTAAAACTAGAATAGTTTTTTGTAAACATTATGAAAAAATCATTAATATTAGCAGATATGATAATCACATTATTTTTACTTAAAAAAGGATGCATCGTAAAGTCATGTAAACTTCAAAAATTTATAATAAAAGAAGCAGTTCTCAGAATTTTGGTTTGTACAAATAATGATCAGAAGGATATTGGATTTTGTTTCCACATATTAAAAAAAAAAAAAAAAATAGTGAAAAGTAACTGAAAAAGGGTGCTTACATGTCATACTGAGACATTTTATGCAAATCAGGCAAACAGACAATGAAACAGATCACAATAAAATGAGATGGTACATTTATTTTAAAGTAAAAGATGTTCAACATGACCACCAGCACAATGTATTAGGCAAGTGAAGCATGCCACTATGCTTATTACTGTTGAATGCAGCATCTCAGCATCAGTGCTACCTATGGTCCGTCGAATGGCATTACTCAGTTATACAAAAGCGACAGGGAAGCAGCAGTACACAAGGTACTTAGTATCCCTACAAGCAAAAATCTGCCTGGGTCAAGTTTCGCGATTGTGAAGGCCTTTTACAACCTCAACTTTTAGCTTGGTCTTCAGTGAAAGTTTTCAACAGGAAAGTCTTGACCCACGTGCAATGTGAGGCATGAAGGTGACGCCAAGTAACATGTCTTTCCTGCAATGCAGGCACAACGTAGTCACAAAAAAGCATAGCATACCATTCTGCAATTCTAGATCTTCCAGTCAGATACATGACAACATTCTTCAAAAAAGAAAGGGTGCAAAATGAAAGATGTGATAAAACCACACCAAATAGTCACATGAGGAGAATGCAGTGGCTTGATCAAGTAGTCATGAGGGTTTGATGTTGCCCAGACACGTCTGTTTTACATATTGACATCACTCTGCAGAAAAAATTAGGCTTCATCTATCCACATGATGTTCACCAACCACTGTGGGTAACGTTCTATTTGTGCCAGTATGTAGCAGTTTTGTCTTTCATCTGTATCTGCTGGAAATAACTGATGAAATATTTGTATTTTATATGGACACAGATTCAAGATTCTGCACAGAATATGTTGAAGTGACAATTCTGGAATACCTGTTATTCTCCCAGCTTGCTACTTCCTGTTGATGTTTTGAACAACATGGATGTGGTCCATGCTCAAGGATGGTCTGCTATTTTGTGGGCAATTCTCCAAACTTTCAATTTTCTCAGAAAACCATACTTTTGTGCCTTCAGTCCTATTTCCGTGCAAAATTTTGAATGCAATACATGTGGATTCACCATTCTTATCGAAAAGCTTAACCACTGCTCAATCTGGTAAAGGTAGCATGCTGCCTGCATTGAATGATGAATCCAATTTCCAGCCAAGTGTTTTATAGCTAATCTGATTTCCATAATATGTCTCACTATGATGTGTGTGCACACTCTTTTGGTTACATTTTCAATCTTTATATATATATATAGTTATACACATGGAAAAGAAATACAGTATCCCTCTGATCATACTGGCACAAACTGAATTTTTTTTTAAATATTACTTCTTTTATTATGAATTTTTGAAGTTAGTGCAAATTTATGGCACGCTCTGTATAAAAAAAAAAAAAAAAAAAGGAACTGATTAATGACAAAGGAAAAAAATATACCTTAGATGCAACTAAAGCGGCTAATTGTCTGCTACTAAAAACTTCATTTTCAGATAATGTTTCACTGAAAAAGAAGAAATTGATATGATGAAATCTAGAAGGCATTTAACAAAATTAATATGCTTGCATAAGAATGAGATTTTCAACAACAAATAAATGTACATCAAAATCTAAAAAGGGACATAGAATTTCGAAAAATAAACAGTACATGGTTCAGAATAAAGTTAATTATTTTTAATCCTGCCCATTTTAAATAATTGTGTACATTTACAATCTATTATACAGCCAAAAGTCTTTAATCCGAAATCGTCGGGGCTTCAGCGGTTCCGGATTATCGGTTTTTCCAGATTACGGATCATCAATTTAAATCTCGTAAGATGGCAAGCAGAAATTATCAAATTAAAAATATGAAACCGTAATTTATGAAATAAAGAGCAATTATGATCTAAAGGGTATCAAAATTTACAAAAAAAAAAAGCTTAATATTTATTTGTTTACTTTATTAAACATTTTTTTCAACACGCGCATGCGTAAAGCTACATTACACATAGTCAAAATTAGAAAATTGCCACCAGAAAACTATTTGATGTGTATTTATGATATTTATAATGACAAGGAATTTGATTTAAATCATATCAAAGATGGAGTACATCGAGACGAAATACTACATTTAGTAAGGAATTATAAGCCGAATAAAATAAAAACATCTGCCCAAAAGATAAGGATAGTGCTGACAGATCAATTTCCAGTTCATTGCACGCCACAACATTCCCCCCCCCCTCCCGCAGAGCAGCGTGAAATTGATAAACAGATTTCAGAATGGTTAGAGAAACAAAGTATATGCCTTTATCCATTTTTTACAGCAATTCCACTTTTTGTTTGATGGACATCGAAACATGCTTTCGCTTTGTAGATTCTTTGGCAGCTCCAGAATCGGAAATTTTTTTTGACATAATCGAAAGTTCAAGCTTACTTTTATAGAATTGCTCCAACAGTCTGCAAAAAATAATAAGCCGGATCCAATTCGAAGATTAAGGAACAATGCAATCTGCAACATTAACTGAAATACATAATTAGATAATTTAACTTAGCTTATACCATCCATTATACATTAAACGCGCATGCGTAAACACATATGCACATGCATTTAGCATTATGCGTTTCGCATTATGCATTTACGCATGCGCAGAAAGTTTGTAGCTTATTATAGATCATTCCAGATTATGGACGTTTGAATTAAAGACTTTTGACTGTACATCATATGCGTATTCTGTAATTTATACATTGGATATGTGTCAAAATTTTCAATCAAATGTAATTATACATATTTCGGAAATATTTTTCCTATGTTAGTAGCAAGACAATATAAAAGTATCCAATATTTCATCAAGTAAAAGATAATGGCATTAAAAATGGACAAGAAAAAGAAAAGCAAAGGAGCAAAGTCCAAAAAGAGCATATCAGGCAGTTTCTCTTGTACACAAAGCAACAGTGAGTGAGTGAGTGAGTGATTATGGCGCAAAAACCAGAGATGATTATGACGCGCCAAACAAAAGATGAGATGATTACAATTGATGACATGAAAATTCAATAAAGAAAAACAAGTAGATAAATGTACCAAATCCAGAGGATGAAGTCATATAAAAACAAGTTAAAAGCACATATTAACATTCAAGACACAGTCTTCAAAACAAATTACATTTGGTAATAAAAGCCAATCTCTTTTAAATAATAAAATAAATTAGAATTGACCTCTCTTCCGATTAAACGGTCGAGAGGTAAGTCACAGCTATTAAAATATTTCTGGCGAAGACTATTAAAACATTGACACTCAATTAAAATATGACGAACAGATAAACAAACATTACAATTAAAAAAACAGGCTCATTTTCAGCTTTAAGAAGATAGCTATGTGTGACTCTGGTATGACCAATTCTGAGTCGAGTCAAAAGAACGTCCTCTTTACGATTTCCAGCAAAATCCCAATGCTCAATTCTAGGTTTGATGTTTCTCAACATGTTATACTTGTTGTGATGCTGAACATCCCAAATTTGCTGCCATTTTTTTTCGTATCTTTCCCCTTGATGACACAGCAGATGTCTCTAAAAGGGATAAGGCGACTGGACAGTTCGACAGCAACAGCAGATTTTGCCGCGCTGTCTGCAAGCTCGTTTCCCTTTATTCCCGTATGCCCGGGAACCCAGCAGTACAGGATTTCATTCATATCCTCGTATCATTAAATTTCTATGAATTTTGAGAACATCCACTACCACAGGATTCTGAGCGTTGGGAAAAGCTTCCAAGGATTTAAGAGCACTATACGAGTCTGTGTAAACTATGAACTTTTTGTGGCAGAGCTTTGGGATGTACAAAAGGGCATAATATATTGCAGTTAGTTCAGATGTTAGGACAGAGAAAGCATGGTGCAGGCATCTGCCCTCTATGTAATTTTCAAATACAAAAGCCATCCCGACATGATCATTTGACTTTGATCCATCTGTGTATATCGAATAATAACTGCTATATTTGTGCCTGTGCTCAGCGAAAAGTTGTCTGTAAACGATCTCGTTAGTGCTCGCCTTTACGTGATGTTTAAAAACATCAAGAAGCTGGATCCGTGAATTTTCCCAAGGTGGAATTTCAAAATTCTGTACTGCTTGGGGGTGCATATCAGAGAGGGAGAGTTCCTCAATGACAGGGCGAACTCTTAAAGGGAAAGTAGGAACACAGGATGGACGTGTTTCAAATAATGTGTTACACTCATTATCAAGTAAGCACAGCTTATTGGGATGTTCAGGTTGAGATAGAGTATTAAAATATTGCAAAAGGGACAATTGCTCACGCCTCAGATGAAGTGATGGTTCGTTACAGTCAACATATAGGCTCTGCACAGGAGAAGTCCTGAAAGCTCCTGAACAAATCCGCAGACCTTGATGGTGAACAGGATCCAGTTTTAAACAAAACAGATGAGCGAGCGGATCCATAAACAACTGAGCCATAGTCCAGTTTAGAGCGGATAAGCGCTCTGTAAATGCGAAGCATGGAGCAACGCTCTGCACCCCAGGAGGTGTTCGCCAACACTTTTAAAATATTTAGTGTTTTTAGACACTTCTTTCTCAGGTTTAAAACATGAGAAAGGAAAGTCAATTTTCGGTCGAACGTCACTCCTAAAAATTTTACTTCGGGCGTAACTGGAATAATTGTACCATTCAAATATAACTCAGGTTCAGGATGGAGACCACGCTTCCTACAAAAGTGAACACACACAGTTTTCTGTTTCGAAAATGTAAATCCCTGTTTGTCTGACCATTCTTGGATCTTATTCAGAGCCATCTGCAATTGCCGCTCTACATATCTCATGTCTGCTCCTCGACAGCTAATCTGCAGATCATCAACATATAGAGATCCCAAGATGGTGGGAGGAAGTTCTTTTAATACAGAGTTTATTTTTAAACTAAACAGGGTTACACTAAGCACACAGCCTTGAGGCACACCCTCTTCCTGTTGAAAAACATCCGAAAAAACAAAGCCAATCCTTACTTGAAAAGTTCTAGCGTTCAAGAAATTCTGTATGAAAATTGGTAGGTTGCCGCGCAAGCCACTCTCGTGAAGATCCCGGAGTATACCGTATCTCCATGCCTTATCATAAGCTTTCTCAATGTCGAAGAATATTGAGACAAGGTGACTTCTTCTGACAAAGGCTTTTCGAATAGATGTCTCTAATAGAAGCATATTGTCTACGGTCGTTCTCCCCTTTCGAAAACCGCTCTGATAAGGCGATATAATATTATTCTTTTCCAAGAAGTAGACTAGGCGGCTGTTTACCATCTTTTCAAACAGTTTGCAAACACAACTGGTAAGGGCAATTGGCCGATAGTTCGAGGGATTCCTCGGGTCTTTCCCTGGCTTCGCAATAGGAATGACAATAGCTCTCCTCCATGCACTGGGAAATGTACGCTCCTTCCACACTCTATTGTAAAGTGTGAGAAGGGCACTCAGTGACTTATAGGACACATGCTTTAGCATTTCATAATACACGCCATCCAGACCCGGACAAGACCTATGTGTCTGCAACAAAGCTCTCTTTAGTTCAACCATAGTAAAGTCTCTATTGTACGGCTCAAAGTTGGAAGAGTTGAAAGCGATGGGATTTTTTTCAGAGCGTTGCTTGATAGAAAGAAATGCAGGTGAGTAATTTCGGCTGGAAGAAACGGCAGCAAATGTCTCACCAAATGTATTTGCAATTTCTTCTATGGAGCTAATCACTCGGCCATCTTTTTCCAGAAAGGAAAGTGAGTGGTCTTTATACATTCCGCATGCTTTTCGAACTCTTTCCCAAACCCGCTTACTAGGCGTAGAGGATGTTATTGAGGACACATATGAAATCCAGGAATCCCTCTGGCTCTGCCTTCTTACTTTCCGTGCATTTGCTCTGGCTCTTTTAAAAGCTATGAGGTTTCGCAGAGTAGGATATCTACGAAAAATACCCCATGCTTTTTTCTGTTTTTTCAGTGCTTCATGACAGTCGCGATTCCACCACGGTTTCGAATATTTTAGTAGTTTTCCTGATGTTCTAGGAATGGAGAGCATAGCTGCCTGAATAATAGTATTAGTAACAGCTTCAACAGCGTCATCGATATGCACACCTTCTACCATTTGATGTGTGAGCTCTGCAATGGAAGAGAAGAGTTCCCAGTCTGCCCTGTCCAGGATAAAACGAGGGAGTCTCGTCATGGGATTTGCTCCTCTTCGTGCAAGAGACACAAAAATAGGATAATGATCGCTGTTGTACAGGTCATTTCCGACACTAAAAGTGCAAAATGGCAACAGAGATGGTGAACAGATGGCAAGGTCGTTCCACCATCTCTATTGAGCATGGAATGTCTTTGTAGGCTCATGGAAGTAAGTATCCTGCCCATTATTCAGGAGACAAAGGCTATGATCTTCGATCATCTGCTCAATTTGTCTCCCTCGGCAATTTGTATCTTTACTACCCCAGAGCGGACTATGGCCGTTAAAATCTCCTATTATGATGAAAGGCTCAGGCAGCTGCTCTAAAAGACCATTTAAATCTTGCTGATCAATATGCTCATTTGGAGGCAAATACAGAGAAACGACTGTAACAACAATATCAAAATTTGTTTGATTAGCGACAACTTGGAGGGATGTCGTCAAAGAAAGCACATTTGAGGGATAATCCAGTGAGGTGAGGAGACCTACACCTCCACTGGCACGTTCACCTGCAATGTTATCTTTCCTGACGAAAGAAAACCTCCGAAGTTTTGCCTGTTGTTCTGGTTTTAGATTTGTTTCCTGTATTGCGAAGCATACAGGATGATAAGCATTGATTATGGCTTTGATGTCGAGCAAATTTCGGTGGAAACCGCGACAGTTCCATGAGACGAGGGTGGCCATTATGATTGATGTTTGTTGTTCCTGTGTTCCTTTTTAGTTTTGCGCGGAAGCAGATGATCGGGAACTTCTAGACCGTCTTCCACTTCCATACTGTCTGAATCTGCAGATTCAGAAATAATTTTATTTGCAGAACTATTGCTGGGACTTCTATTTTTGGTTTCTATTATTGGAGGCACAGTTTTGGGTTTGCTCGGGATTGCTATTTCTTTATTTTGTATGGTATGTGTTGGATTTTCTTTGTTCTTGCTTGCAGGCTGCTGGTTTTTATTTGGTGGAGTCTGTGTACTTATGGAAGTTTGGGTGGCTATTGTGCGGGTTGATTTCACGGCATTGGCATATGATTTGTTCGATATAGGCTGTGTGCTTTGAACTTGTCTTCTGGCTTCGGAATACGAAATGTTCCTGGTAACTTTTATGGTCTGCACATCCTTTTCTAATTTCCATTTCGGACAGGAACGAGAAAATGCTGGATGGTTGCCCTTGCAATTTATACACAGTGCTGCAGCGGTGCAATTTTCGCTATCGTGGCCAACCGACGAGCATCGAGCGCACGTCAGGGTCCCACGACAGGACATCTTGGAATGGCCAAAACGCTGGCACTGGAAAGCATCGCATAGGGTTTGGAATGTATGGACGTTACAGGACAATTGAGGTATCCAGCCTTAATATTCTTAGGCAGATCAGGCGATTTGAAGGTCAGGATCACGTGTTTGGTGTCAATCAACTGACCTTCCTTACGCATCTTGATCCGCCTAGCGCACAGGACATTTTTGGTCAGCTAACTCGGAAACGAACTCTTCTTCTGAAACAGAGAGAAGGTCGATTTCCGAGATAACACCTCTACAAAAATTCAGAGTTTTATGCGCTGACACAGTTATAGCTACATTTCCAAGTTTGGTTTGTGACAAAAGGGAAGCAGATTGTGTTGGCGAAACAGTATCTATAAGCAGGTCTCCAGAACGGAGACGCTTAATATTCTTTGGCTGACCTATGCATGAGTTAATGTATTTGCTTACTAGAAAAGGAGACATCTTTTGCAGTTCACCAGAAGGACAAGAGACAACTAGGAAGCGCGGATTTTCAGTAGTTTCCTTTACATTTACATCAGTACGGGTTTTTCTTACTAATAGGTTTCTCAATTATTTCTATATCTTGTTTAATTTCGTTTGGGTCAGGTTTTTTTAAAAATGTATGAAAATTGAAGCCATGTTTAAAAGAGAAAAATTCGGGTCCGACAGCCCCGCCCACCACGGAGCCCAACAAGGGAACACAGATTCCTGTGTTAGGGCTAGCCGGACCTATACGCAAACTGAAGCCCCACAGTCGGCTTTCCCGAAAGCAGGTACTCCCGAGAGCTTGACCCCAAGCCACTGACACAAGGACTAGTGACCAGCCGATTGACACCCGTGAGGACGACTAAGGTGCCTCCCGTTTAGCTGAAGCAGAGGCCAAAGCAGTGTGTTGGGGACAGTACCTCGCCCCTCAACTACCAGGACCCTCCTTTCCAGCGACACGGGTCTCCACGCACGGCAAACACGTGGGCAGTTTTCTCCCCACTTGAAAACTAGAAACAAGGTCTGTTCCAGCCTCTCGTGACGAGCCCCAAACTCCGTAGAGAGAAACCACGAGGGAGAAGGGAAGGGAAAAAGTTCCAGCCAAGAGGAGAGGAGACGGAAAAGAGGATAGATCACTGGGGCTCCAGGATCGTGACACCCGTCTCATCAAGAAGATGATCCCCTGAAGGGCACAAAGCAACAGAAACACATCAAAAGATGTATGGTATATCTAACAATGATGCTGTATCAGAATATACATGCTGATATTGGCTTAGGGTCTTACATAAAGGCAGCTTGAAGATCAATCAACCTTGGGAAGTGAAAGATAAGGATCTGGTAAAGATTACTGATGATAATAAAAAAACTAAAGACAAGAGAGTTTATACCTTGAGATTTGGAATAATTTTATATATCTATGTTCCACACAAATTATAGCAGTATGCACTGAATTTTTCCATGGTGGCTAGTGAGAAAATGTGAATTCAAGAATCTCAAACTTTGTAGACTAGGCAATTTTCTAGGACCTACAGCAAAGCAACCATCACACAAACAAAACATTCAGCCAAGTGCTTGATGGGTTTTCAGAGGAAGGACCTATTGAGAGGAGATACCACTGAACCACTTACCGAGTTTAAAAATAATTACCTTTGAATAAATTCTTCTGACACAAACTTCTTTTTTAACTATATTAATTAAACTTTTGCAAGCCAAGATTTCATAATACTGATGATTCTTCCCATAATCTGGAGCATCTTGATTTTATAATTTACTTATATAGTCAAATAATCAATGCTGAAAAGCAAAATCACTCACACAACGAGTTCTCACACGTTGATTCAAATATTAAATAAAAATTTTGTAATGAAATACTAACATTTTTTGAATAGCTTCTGATATTTCAGGCCAAAACACATCCACTATATTATTTAATTTTTTCAAAGCAAAATCATGCACTTCAGCTTGATTTTCATCCAGAAGTGCTAGTATTCCACCTGCAAAAAAATACGTAAATAAATAAAAACTCACAGTTTAAAAACTGCCAAGCATTATAAAAGATGGAAAATTTGAAATATAATAATTTTGCAAAACAAATATTTAAAATTTTTAATGAAATATGTTTAACTCATTAAGATTGTTTCTTTCTTCACACCAAAACAGGTAACACAAAATTTACTGCATTCATGTTTAATAATTTTATATACTATTTTTATATGCAGAAATGACATAAGATAATATTTCATAGTAAAACTAGAATAATTAAATTATTATATGAATGGAAAATAATGTATTTTAATTATAAAAATCTACACATTTAAAGAAAATAGGATTTATACATAAAATTCATTACAAGATATACAAAAGGATTCATAAAATTAGGAATCAAGTTTTTTAAATTTTAGTGTAAACTAACACTAAACTTTTATCAACCTTTTGAGGGAGTGTAATATAGCAGGCTTCTCGTGGTGCACCCTAGATAATGCTATACAGTGGAAACTCAAGATACGAGTTTATTTCATTCCAGCATTGAGCTCGTATAGCGAATTTCTCGATCTAGAAACAAACTTCCCCATTGAAATTAATGAAAATCCAGTTAATTCGTTCCATCTTCCCAAAAATATCAACAAAAAATTCAATTTTTCTAATAAGTAATACTGGTAAATAGTAAAACCACATAGTTTACCTTTATGATAGCTTCCAACACCAACCTTTTAACTGATTCTTGTTAATCAATGCCAACAACAGCTTCTCAACATCTTCTAGGAGTTTTGGATGGTGCTTGGAGGCAACGGCAACTCCTTTGGTTACATCAAGTTTCTTAACCTGCTTCTTTAGAGTAGTGCAAATCGTCGATGTTAAAAGGTCGTAAGTCTTCACCAATCCGTCACTCTTGCATCACGCTTGTTTATCTATGATTTCTTTCTTAATTTCAATGGCCATGGCTTTCTTATTTTTCTTTGCAGAACAATCTGAGGCAATATTATTCATGGGAGGCATCGTGAAATAATTATTTTCATGTTAAATGTATTGACTCACAAGCACACAAACACGTAGATCAAAGAACACCGAGTGATCTGATGAGAGGATTCCCCCGAGTCAAGCTGGATCGGGGAATGGCGCCACACATTCCAACAGCCTGGCTCGAATCAGTGCTCAAACTTTTTGCTATAATTTTCCTCGTATCTTGAATTTCTCCTATACAGAGGTGCTCGTATCTCGAGGTTCCACTGTATCTCCTACAGGTTTGGAAATCTCTCGTCTTATTTTTGATGAAGACTTCAAAAAATAATTCAAGTTGTCCTTTCCAGGACATTCAATGATTGAGAATTCTCCAATGGAATGACAGAGGAATTTCTCAGGAAAATGAACACAACTCCACACTATCTTAGGGTCACATGACACTGATTTTTTTTTTTTTTTTATGACAGTCGAAGCAAACTTTGAATATAGCAATTTAACTAAATGCAAATTCCCTGGTTTTTACTTAAAACTATTACCTAAAACTAGGCATAATGCCAGTGGTATTTTTAGTTGACATTAAGAACAATTTAATTTCTACGTTTGAAATCATTAGTGACCTTTCGTCCAATAGTAGAGCTGAGTTGGTCCAAGTCAATGTTTGGATTTATCAGAACCATTTTAAAATTTTTAGCTGTTATAGCCCAAGCAGTTCTCAGTTAAATTTTGATAACATTCAATTTTCTAATAAAACAATTTTACGTGGATGCACATAGTCTACACTGGAATTATAGACACACAAACAGTGCAGAAAAAGCTATGGAGGACCCCTTGGATTTCATTATTCTCGAACTGATCTACAGAAATTCTAACAGTCCTACTTACCTCTACTAGTTTTAGTTTAGTTTAGTGACGGAGGACGTGGGCACCATCCCTTTACCGTTTTGGGTTATTGGTAATAGCACCACGTCCACCCTTATCCAGAGACTAGTGGGACTAGTTTATACATTACAGTACTTACGATATCATGCTATATAAATAAGCCATACAATATCCTACATATGCATGATACAGTATATAATGAAACAGGATTATCAGAACATAATGCTAGTGCGTATACAGTTAAAATGCAAAAGGCTTTATACTAAGTATCAATTAAGTTGTATGATTAAATATTGTATTATACATACATAATAATGGAAGTGGTTCTAGCCCTGATTTAACTTTTGGCTTCAAGTGACTTAGCAGATGAGGCGTGGTGGTTTGGGTTATTGGCGCATAACCAGAAAGGTTATATGCGCCAATAGCAGATGAGGCGAACAGAGAAATAATTTATGATCCTGGCTCTAGCCATCACATTACTGTTACTTCATTCCTAGTTAAGGGGAAAACCTCTAAATGACAGCATTATTAAAGATTCAATATAAGAAATTAGCTGAATATAAACGAGAAATCAACATTAGTAAAAATTGTGCTTGGGAACAACAATGTGACACTTTGAATATTCATCAACCTTTTGGCATTCCTTACTATATTGCTGTTAATAAATATAAACCAGCTTTGCAAATTGCCTCTTTGAAATACCAAGATGGATCTTATACCAAGAATATAGACGAAACAGTAAATTACCTCCTACAATATCATTTTCCTTGTGATACTACTTACGGTGATCTATCATGTCATTATCAAGTTTTATCAGATTGTCAGATGCCTCCAGAGACCGTAAATGACTATGATTTTACTTTGGATAAAGTGGAACTTACTCTTAAAAAGTTAAACAAAGATATAGCTTCTGGTAAAGATGGCCTGACATTGGATATTATTTTAGAAATATTTGAATGTAATAAAAAGTTCTTTGTAGCTATTTCGAATGAATGTCTTCGGAGGTGAATTTTTCCTGAATGTTGGAAAGAGTCTTATTTGGTTTTGTTCAACAAAGAAAGAAAGAATAAAGATCCTTCCTCTTTTCGGTCGCTTTACTGCCTTCCTGGGGCAAGGTGCTGAATAAACTCATGGCACAATGGTTACAATATTATTTATTATCATATAATCTTTTAAATAAAAATCAATTTGGTTTTATGCTGGGCAAAAGAACTACCCAGGCTATAGATAATTTAATTTCTGACATCCTTCGAAATAGAAGGAATGGTAAACATACTGCAATTTTATCCTTAGATGCAAAGAGCGCTCTCAAAAATGTTTGGTGGCCAATTTTATTAAAGCAATTAAATTATGAAATGTCCAAGAAATATCTTCTTTTAATAATAAGTGATTTTCTGAATGAAAGAAAAGTTTCCTTATGTCATGGTAATAAGTGGCTTCACAGAAATTTCCAAAGGGGTTGTCCCCAAGGCTTAATATCTGGTCCACTTTTGTGGAATATTATTGCTAATATAGCTTTAAACATAACCTTACCACAAAATGTTAGTATACTAGCTTATGCTGACAATTTTGTTTTACTGGCCAAGGGAAGTGGTCGTCATACTACAGTCAAATACCGAAATCCGCCGACTTGAAATCCGCACTGCCTCTCAAAATATAAACATTTAGTTTATGGGTTCCGGAAACCGCAACATGGAGTACGAAATATTGAAGAAAAAATACTTACTGGTTAATGATGTCATAATTACTGAATAATAATGAGTCGTAATGGAAATACAAAATTATTGACATCATGATAAGAGTTTTTTCCCCCTCCAATCTGCATCTAGGTAAAAAAGCAGACGATTAACTCAACTCTTCTTTCAAGTTCACGCTTCACGTTGTACTTTCCGAGCTTTGTTATTTCACGAGATTGTTTAGTGATGTCATTTTTTTTATTCGGATAATTTGTGAATAAATGAAAAATATTTTAAATTTCAGTCCTTTTTAATACAATGACAGATAAGAAACGCGCTCGTGATTTTACTGCTTGCAACGTCGAAAAACGTAAACACGTTGCATTGACGGTAATGAAAAAAGTGGAAATTCTGCTAAAGATGAAAGTAGGTGCCACTGTTCGGTTTATATCAGAATCATATGGAATTGTCACACGGACTGTGTATGATATACGGAACAATAAAGAAAAGCTGTTGAAATTTTACAGCAACAGTGATTCTAACCCCGGAATCTGAAAGCAGAAATCTTTATATGAGGCAAAATCGGCAAACCTCGATGCTGTCTTGTACGAGTGGTTCCGGCAGCAGCGGAGTGATGGGGTACCTATTTCAGGACTACTCCTGAGAGAAAAGGGGAAGCAGATTCATGCTGATTTAAGAATAGAGGAGCCTAATGGAAATGAACAATATAATATAATCAGTTTATATATGTAATAATAATTAAATGCATATAATTAATTATTGTATTAATGTATGTAATAATAATTAAATGTATGTAATACACCTCATTTATTTTGCACTTTTAGTCGGAATATTATCTTTTCTGTCTCGAAATCCGCAAAATCCTAAAATCTGCACAACCTCGGGTCTCAAGCGTTGCGGATTTCTGGACTTCTACTGTATTCAAAAAGCTTTCAGTTAAGCCACTCAAGAATTGGAGAAGTGGTCTTTCCATGTTAAGGGGTATCAGCAACCGCTATCCCGACAAAGTTAAATTGGCCATTTTCGATGTACCTTTTCTCAAAATCTGCTGTAGATACACACTTGAAATTTTTTGTCTAATTAAAGTTGACCTATCTGATTATACTGAAGTGAACTTTTGAAACATTTTGAGTTTTAGAGTAATTTACAGAATATTTTTTTAGGCATAGTAAAATTTAGCATTTTTCTCACACAAAAAAAAAAAAAAAAAATTTTAATTTTTTCTTAGTTTATCACAAAAAGCTTATTTCAGTAAATATTAGGAAACTAATAAAAAAAAAAAAAAAAAAAAAAAAAAAAAAAAAAAAAAAAAAAAAAAAAAAAAAAAAAAAAAAAAAAAAAAAAAAAAAAAAAAAAAAAAAAAAAAAAAAAAAAAAAAAAAATAAGCCATAAAAATTTTAGATACCTGTCAGCAGTAGTTCCTGAAAAAGGTACATCGAGTATATAAAAATCACGTT